TAAACTCCCCGTTAGTTGGTGGGCTTCTCGGCCAATTGACCAAGCAGTCAAGGATGCGATGCTCCGAAGGTGCTCGACATCCTTCAACAACCTCCAAGCCTACCTCGCGACCAACGAACATCGAAGATGGCAGTCGCAAGTCCATTCTCAAATCTGGGCGAGCCCGACCACCGCGAACGGACTTTTCGCCGCTGTTGCGACCCAGATAGCCGGTGGCCTAGTCCCTTGACGACACGCTAAAGGCCGCTTTTCATCACGGTGTCTGCCCTTCGGGCCGAGACATCATCAACAACAACAACCAGCAACCCATCGGTATCTATCCCAAGAAGGATGCGCTGAGCTCCTACACACTCCTCGAGTCTGCGCTCCGAAAGCACTCTTCATCCACCTAGCTTCACCTCGCTCAACGCCCTGTGATCTTTGTACCCGGAACTGGTTCTTATGGAGGCACAAACTTTGCCAAACCCAGGAAGTTGTTGACAGGCAAGAGCTATGCTGACCTGTATGGCTCACATACCCGACGCTATGCTGCGACGCACAACCACTCTGAATACATTGCCTACGCCATCAACTACATCGTGCCGTCTCACGCACGAACAAGGGAAAACATAGCCGTCATATCTTGGTCTCAAGGGTGGGTCTGGGATACACAGTGGTTGCTCAATACTGGCCATCACCCGTAAGGGTCAAAGACTTCTGCCCGTGTCCCCAGACTTCAAGGGTACTTCTCGCGCCAACGCCTCCTCTGCCTCACACCGAACCAGCGATATCGCGCTCCTTCCCTGCGACCCTTCTGTTATTCAGCAAGAAGCTACGTCCGACTTTGTCGCGTCGCTTCAGGCGGAATGGAGCGATAGCGGCATACCGTGCCTACTACAACCTTTTACTCTGGCCTCTTTGATGAGGTTGTCGAGCCTCAACAAGGCCCATTGCCTCTGCGTTCATCATGACTCGCGCAATGTTGGCGTCCTCTCCACAACGAGGTCTAAACCAGACGGTGTGTTGCTTTGGTCAGCTAGGAGGGTCCCGTCCCCTACGGCCATGCCGCGTTCTGTTTCAACCCGCTGACTTACGCCGTCTCATTGTTGACCCTTCAAAACGAAGGACCAGCAACGTAGGTCGCATTGATGTCAAGAGCGTTTGCAGTACCTATGCCGCTCCTGGCCTCGAACTGATGATGTATTGGCTACTGAAGGTCTCATTCCTATCGCCGGTGCAGCACTGCGATCTACCCCAGAAGGTGTACGGTTGACCTGAATTGAGGGCTTTATGCTAGGTAGCTGCGACGTTAACGAATGGGTACATTCATTATCGCAGTCAGTAACATACTTCTGTAATTTGCTTCATCAAACCTTGCTTAGCTATACTTTGCGTGAAGCGTGCCCAAGCCAACAGTCATCCACTCTGGATTCGCCCATCACAATCCGGAGACCTACAGCCACAGAACTAAGCACTAAAAGAGCGCCTAATACAAGGAAAACGCTAAATAGGTATGCAGACTACATTGGGATAGAGCGGTAAATTGGAAAACCCGGGTTAATGTAGCCTGCAGGGGTGTTTCAGGTCTTTCCTTGATCAGTGACAAAAAAATGATCAGGAACAAACATCAGTATCCTAATGCCCGTTTTCAGCTCGCGTGCTGTTCCAACTTGTCCCTCACTTTTTCTTCTCCTTCTTCTTTCCCCCCTTGCCAACCGGTGCGGGTTTTTCGTTGGTGGCTTAGAGGATGGCTTAGGGAACGAACTCGTGATGTTTCGAATACCCCGGATGATGCGCGAAAGGCTTCCGATACCGGGTGGAGTTGTATGTACCCCGGATGGGTCGGATAGCCCGGCCTGGAACAGTTTATCGCTTGTTGAACCTGGTGGCTTCACCATGTTACCACCGGTTCCCCCTAGTCTCACTGTAGTGACGTCTTCTTTAACGACATTCTGGTCGAGACGAACTGCTCTAATCGACGTGAGCGTAGTAGGGTTTTTTTGGTCTTCATTGCTCTGTTGATCTCCAGAATTTTGGCTACCTTCTCTCTTTCAGGAGACTTTTGAAGGCCGGCATACTAGCTGCAAGCTGAGCTGGGTCGGTCCAGTCCCGGTGTGGCAGCAGTTGTGGGGGGTTTGGGGAACGGACTTGAGATGCCGGCAGTTCTAGTGAGAGTCGGGAGGCCAGACTGAAGCATTGGAACGACGGGTGGAGGTACTCACAGACTGCGCAGGCTGCCGTGACCGAGGCTGAACAGGAAAACTATTTGCTTAATTTTGAGCCCTGGCGCCGTGGCGCCTGGCGTGGCGAGGCACTGCGTCGGTGCTAAAGATGGATGGCCTGTCGATTGGTAAGAGCCCAATAGTGGGGAGTACTGCTGGATGGACCTGAGCCGGTTGTATATATCTGCCCGCCGTAGGAGTCGGTGTCGGCGATGGAGCAGGGATGGCACTGCACTCTGTTTGTGTCCGAACCTGCTGCACGTAATTCGGAGTAAGATGCTGCTGAAGTTTCGGATGTGGTGCGTACGGCAACCCTGGGTCGTTCATAGTATCATTGAATGTCCCCTCTGCCAGATTGGCGAACATCGTGTCATGTTGAAGGCCTTGTTAAGAAACCTTGAGAGCTCAGTGATGGGTGGTTTTCAGTCCAAGTCCCTGGCTGCTGATTTAACAGCTGACCCTGTCTTCTTGCCCAGAATGCCTCAATTTCTTGTTTCGACGTCGATAGTGCTGCAACTCAGGAATGGTCAAGGTTCCCGAGACCCAGGCTCAGTGAAGTCGCCGGGCTTTGCCGTAGAGCAAACGAGGGTCAATATCGTGGTCTGTGGTGGTCTTGTCGTCATCGTGAAAGTTGAAGTTCCAGGTTGATTATCCACAGATGAAAGGGAAATAGTTTGGCACTGATTGCGTGTAAGTATCCACAAGTAAGCAAAAGTTCCGATGCGGGAAAGAGAGTGTACAGCCTATGTACAGTTGAAATCCGGACAGCTTAGAAAGAGGCGAGAAGTAATATACGATATTACCGAGGTTATCGAGCAGATTGTGAACAGTGAAGGTGGGATGTAGGGCTTTAAGGGGGGTGCAGAGCGTTGTGCTTGCGACTGTGTGGTAGCAGATCTGGTGAAAGCACGTAATACCTACTTGGGTTTTTGACCGCAATCTGCATGAGCCGTACACTCTCGTACTTCTTCCATGCTTCACTAGGCTGGGTGTGGCGATGCAGCAAGTCGGAGGGTCCCTTTAGCTGCGCCCGCCGGAGGAGAAACCTCGCCAGAGGCTGCAGGTTATCCGTGGTCCATTGAGCTCGGCTGGGAGACCTCGATGCCTACGTTCAATCGCGAAGAAGATGCGCTCAAAGAGAAGATCGTCGCCGTCCATAGAGGATTTCTGAAACAGATCAGCACCCCGCGGCGGTCACAGTAAACAAATGAGGGACTTACGGTCTGGTAGCTAGAGAAATCGAGCGCTCGTTGTACGTATGCCGCGATGTCGAGATCGCCATGCAGCGCACGTGCTTGAAAGCGTAGCGCAGGTTAGGGTTGGGTGAGAGTCTGCGCAAACCATTGCGGATCAACGGGGAGTGTCGGGGCGTTCATTGTGGGCATTGCACTGGCTGGGTCATAAATTGTTGCGCGGTCGGTGAGAGGAATTTTTCAAAGCTGCAACGAGGATTTAAGGAATGAAATCGTAGAGTATGCGAGACAGTTCACCGTGTTCACCACGCAAAGCTGCGACAAGAGTCGAACAAAGTGAAGGGCAGAGAGTATGTGAGACAATTTCCAGCTTCACCGCGAGAAATCGGCGACAAGATTCAAGTATTCGAGACAGCTTATCGATTCGTCCCGAGTTCACCACGACTTCCGTAAACCTCAGGCACGAACTTTGCTACATAGTATGCCGGAAGCTCGAGACGAATGATAAACGATGATTGCCTTCGACCACGAGCCGCATCCTGCGCGAAAAAAGGTCGACCATGGTAAGCAATAATGCAGATGAATCAGTCGTTATTCTCGAGGTGTTTGCTAGGAACTATTCGAAGTAGTCTCATCATCGGGTAGAGCGCAGTGGAGGCTCAGCGGAAAGATAAGAGTGAGAATAGCGTATAAAATGATTCGCTACTGTCACTCTTTTTCACGATGGCGTCAGGCAGCATTTCGTCGTGTTGAATCTTTGGTGGTTACTGCTATTTGCATCACCCCATGGTTACGAGACGAGTGTACACCAAATGTAGAACGATCTTCATGATTGGGTCTCAAGCATTGTCACCTACCTAGCCATGAATCTGAGACAATTACATACAATTCCTGAATGCTGTCGTTTGCCGTCCAGTTATACACCCATTCCTTGTCCATTCACATACTTGAACACAGAAAACCCTCACTTGGTGCAAGTCCATCCCGGTCGTGTGGTGTTTGAGCCCCCTAAGCACGAGGCCAAGTGCAGTTCTTCTTGAGACAGCAGCCGTTGATGACACATGTGCAGCCACCGAAGAAACCCTAGACGCATACTTATCAGCCAGGTACAGTATCGTTTGTTCTGCGATAGCTAGCAGAGAGAGAGTCTACGTTGCATGGACACTCGACACAGGCTGTGAGAGTACCGGCGTCTGCGGCATTGCCGCTATCGACGCTAGTGTCGGCCTCGATGAAGGAGCGCTGAGCGAGAACTTGGGAAGTGATGATCAATACAGTCTCAGACAAAACGGCGGTACATAAAGGAAGAACTTACAGCTCCAGGGGCGGCCATGGTGGCTCCGAAAAAAGAGCGGCGATGATGGTGGTAGCCTTCATAGTTGCGACTCGGTTTTGGTTGCTGGAGGTAATGGAGGCTAATGTACTGATTGTTGTTGGGAAGTTTGAAGCAGTTGATGACTGTGATCGAAAGCAAGATGCGAAATCAGCAAGGAGTAGGAACGGTGGATTATGTACTGTGTGCGACTGCTTTTCTCCAGGATGCGGGTAGCTAGCGTGGAAACCTCATACAGCAAGCACGCCCGCCGTGAGCTTGTTGGGCTTGGGTTTTTACAATCTTCTGGATCGCTAGTGGCTGTTATTCTCATCGAGTGGAGGATTTACGTGCTCACGACAGGAGGCGACTGTGCGGTTGCACCTTCCAGACTGCGATGGGCCTGCCACGCATCGCTCTTGGAAAGGCCGGCCCAGAGCCGTCGCCGTATTCTCCATCGTGCTGGATTCATGCTGTAAACTCCTCATTTGCCATACAGACCCGCTCGAGGAGCGACTTCGAGAATGCTCTAAGGGTTCCTATGATTTCCAAGCTCTTGCTTAGTCCTCCCCATCGCGCCTGCTCTGACAATGTGAAGCAATTCAACGAATGTATCGTGAGCTGACACTAAGGTGTTATAGCTTTACCTTCGGCAAAGAAGCATACGAGACTGTTAAAGTGCAATAAAGACGGCAGGCAGTGCAGTCGACGGGCGCGACTTTACATGGACACCATTCACGGGACGGACCCAACGTAATTCAAGATGAAGAACATGACTCATACGCATGGAAAGACATGAAGAGCGGATGTAACTCTCGAGAGCAAGACTCATCACACGTTGAAGAAAGTAGACGAACAAAGCAGATCCTGGAGCAAGTAATCCGGATCGGGTGACTTGTCGGCTTTGGGACGAAATTCTGTATGGAGATGGAGATAGTGTCAGTCGACTAAATCTTCGAGAGAGGGATCACGCCGTTGCATTGGTGTTCGCTGCGGGGTCAAGTCGAATAGGAAGTAAAGGGAGTTGGTGCCCGTGACTGCCCAGGTGCCAAAACGTGCCGCGTGCACGAAGACAGCCGTCCGGGTAATTTCGTCACCACCTAGGCAAACTTCGCGATTTCACTGCCTCCTTTGAGGTGCTTCAGCATGCCCATGTCCATTGGACTCGTTAAGCGGCGTGCCTTGTCAATGCAACAAAAACGTCTGAACGGTCTAGCTTCTGCGCTCCAGGGTCCCACACCTGGTAGCTTCACATCGACGTCATCATGCCGAAACCGCGACGCGCAACGTCCTTGTCAACAGGCTGTCGCAGCCAGCGAGGGACAGACGACGTTCAATATGAGGCTGTTATCTTGAACTAACTTGTAGCCTGCTAATATGTATGCGCCCTCTGGCTCAAATCGTCGCCCTCTGCACTGCCCGCATTCCAGCGATCACCCAGTCACATCTCTCGAGTTGCGCGCATCGCTTGCAGCAGACATATCGCAAACATGTCGACTGATACCAAAGCAGCAAAGAGCACCAATTTTGGCCATTTGCCTCTATCGACATCTGGACCGCAGGAAACCAGCCTGACTGTATGACATGCACACGCACCCAAGCAGCCAACAGCTAACACACCGTGTAGGGCAATGCGCTTCTACGAACGCCCTACTTCAACAAGGGCTCAGCTTTCACCAAAGAAGAGCGCGATACCTTCAAGCTACATGGTCTTCCTTCCCACCAACGTTCAGACCCTCGACGAGCAGGTCAAGCGCGCATATGCTCAGTACTCCTCCCGACCGAATGACCTCGCCAAGAACACCTTCATGACGAGTCTGAAGGAGCAGAACGAAGTCTTGTACTACAGGGTATGCGGCGATTGATTGGTGTCGGTCATGGCATGGCATGGCTGACGACTGCAGCTCATCCTCGACCACCTCAAGGAGATGTTTTCGGTCATCTACACCCCCACTGAGGGTGAGGCGATTGCCGACTACTCCAAGATCTTCCGGCGACCTGAAGGTTGTTTCCTCAACATCGCGACGCAGATCGCGTCGAGGACGATATCAAGCAATGGGGAAATTCCGACGACATCGATCTGATAGTCGTAAGCGACGGACAGCAGATACTTGGCATTGGCGACCAAGGTGTAGGGGCCATCCTCATCAGCATAGCGAAGCTCGTCATCTACACTCTGTGCGCAGGTATACATCCTTCGCGAACGCTGCCTGTGGTCCTTGACTGCGGCACCGATGTCAGTAGAGAAACCCCAATTAGATGCACATGGCTAACAAAAGTAGAACAAAGACCTTCTCAACGACGAGCTTTATCTTGGCATGCGAAAGGAGCGAGTATACGGCGAGCGATACGATGAATTTGTCGACAAGTTCGTACGGGCTGCGAGAAAACACTACCCCAAAGCCTACATCCACTTCGAGGATTTCGGATTGAACAACGCGCGAAGGATTCTGGACAAATACAACCTGAGATCGCATGTTTTAACGATGATGTACAAGGCACCGGCTGCGTAACGCTGGCAGCCATCATGGCAGCTTTCAAAGTGAGCGGGACCAAATGGGAAGAAGCTCGCTTTGTCATGTTTGGCTCGGGATCGGCAGGCACGGGAATTGCAGACCAGATCCAAGATGCTATCGTCCAGAACACCGGAAAGTCGAGGGGAGAAGCCGGGCGCCAAATTTGGTATGCTGCTTCACATCCTTAGCCGACGAACCCACGCTGACCTCCATCTAGGTGCGTTGATAAGCCTGGTCTCCTTTTACAAGGCAAGAAGGATCAGCTCACCCCAGCTCAACTTCCTTTTGCGCGAGAGGATAAGGAGTGGGAAGGTAAACAGCATGGCGATCTCCTGTCCGTCATCAAGGAGGTGAAGCCACACGTTCTCATCGGTACCTCGACCAAGCCAGGGTCTTTCTCAGAAGATGTCGT